CAGTGTAGCCATATTCGGTATGCGTGTTGCACCTTCAAAGTGTAAAATGTTACTACAAGATTAGGTTGATCCAGCTCCCAGTGCTATCTAGGCAGCTATATCTCACCCGGCGGACGCATCACAGATGAAGTGTCGGCACGCATACAAAAGGCTCGATTGGCATTTGTCAACTTGAGACATATGTGGCGCCGTCGCGACATCCGGCTGTCTGTGAAGGGTCGAGTGTATGCTGCAGCAGTTCGACCTGTCCTGCTCTACGGTGCACAGCCTTGGCCACTAAAGGAACGGGATAAAAGTAGATTTTTTGTGTTTGAACACCGGTGTCTACGTAGCATTGCACGTGTCTGGTGGGGTAACCGGAGTAGCAATGCTCGGTTAGGCGTAGAGTTTTCAGGTAGTCGCGGTCGTCCACTGGAACAAGTGATCGACCTCCATAGATTACGCTGGTTGGGACATGTGCTACGCATGTTACCAGGTAGGTTGCCACGGCGACCGACGTTTGCCAAGGCTGGTAGGGATTGGAAAGAAACAAAGGACGGTCAAGCTAAGACCTGGCATGAGGGTATGAAAACCCTTACCAGGACACTAGGTCACATACGCCCCGTTACTCACCCTGGCTGGGGACCTCGGGATGATGGTCACCGATGGTTAGCTACACTGGGTGATATGGCTGGGTGTCTCAAACAGTGGTGCTCGTGCATCCACTGGTTATTTTCCTAACACCACTCTATATGTATTCCGCATCTTCTGCCTAAATTTGCTTCGACATTCCAATCTTCATTTAGCTCTTTCATCCAAATGGGCAACCAAACGACAGCAACCAAAACCGGCGCACGAAAGTGCATGGTAAATGGTTGTGTACACTGAAACTGAAACCTCACACCGTATTCGTCACATTGATTTGCGAGCTTCGAATACCGCTACCTTGTAATCTTGGTGTTCTTCGCTCCCACTTAGCAACGCAGTGGTTCAGTGATAATTTCGAGAAATGTCTTATACTTGCCCGTAAATATGAGGGAAGAACACTGTTTTGGTGATGATTACAAGGATTTTAGTTTAGTAGCTTGACGGTAATCAATTCGCCAATACATGAATTGTAATATTTGAGTATTGTTGGCTTTCATTATTTTGAATTTGTCTCCGATAATGCAGTAGAGCTGGTATTCATTCAACGAAACCTGAATAAAACATCGTTGACATTTTCGAAATACTAGTAAGCTTTTTTGGCAACATGATTGATTTCCAAGTAACTCGGCACTCATCTATGTTTTTCGCCATACAGGTCTACGGTGATTCGTCCACGTCTCAATGTTTTGAATCAAATCAAGATGATCTTCATTTTGATTCTAACAATTTAATGAATGATACAGATGCATGTGCCCTATCACAAGAATCAAAATTTTCTAACCAAACCTTTTTGGGGGACAATACACAGCATTGTGTTGATTCTATCCTGCCTCCTTCCGGCGTAAGCAATACAGATTCGCGATCCGCAAATATAATACAACGATTGGGCACTCATGTGTCACCTTATTTAATACATATGTTACAACGGCGTTCTATATCACTACCTCTGACGCGTAAAATAATTCGTGAGGGATGGCTTATGAAGCGAGGTGAGCATATCAAAAATTGGCGACGTCGTTACTTCATACTACGCGAAGATGGGACATTTTATGGTTATAAAAGTCAACCCAAGGTAAGCCTTTTTCCGCATATCAACGAAGTTTTGTCGACCAGTTTATTTATTTCACGGAGAATCATCTGGTATTTTCCTTTCTCGTAACCTTCAATTCAAGTCTCCCATTTCAGCTCTTTTATGTCCAATCCTCTTCTTTCGACCCTATTTGGGCTCTACGGTATTTCTTCCCGCTACTCTTTCGCCACGCCTCAAGGCTAATAGTTAGGTGCTATTTTTGCTTTAAACCTTGGAATGAACCGTAGCATAGACCGATTGCATGTATTGAAATATATTGTTATCAACCTCAGCCAGGTCACTTGAATCAGCGAGCCACCACCGAAGGTTCGAGTCCCGGACTTTTAGCTTGGTTTGCAATAAGTGAAGTGAAGTAGGTAGGTTTACAACACCGAAGTGAGACCGTTCACTAGCACAACAACTGTTGGTAGTCATCGCTTCTTGGGATTGTGCTGTAAATATCCAACATAACGTACCTTGAACGTAGTCACTGCTCCATCGCGGATTAACCCATGTGTATGCGGAAATTTTATGTGAAATTAAGATGTAAGGAATCGCAATTTTATTATATTTTCACCCAGGCTTGCGTTCGCGATACAATAACCTTTATAAAAAAGACAAAAATTTCCATGATTTGCTCGAGGGTATGATACTGCTAGGTTGCCCAGGCCAAAGCAGGTGAATTTTCTTGAGGAGTTCACAACCTGTGCCTTCGGCTAACCAAAGCCTGACCTGCAAGGCAACACGTGAAAACCGCAATCCATTTGGGGGCCGATGTCCAGCTCATCGGATCATACGGAGTCAAACGTCCAAGGTGCCCAATACATCTCCCGATCAAGCCGGTGGCCACCACCATGACCAGGAAGGTGTGAGTGAGTGTGCTTTGTACGTCTCTTGGTTGGTTTGAAAGCAGGGTTGTAAGCCCACTCCTCTAGGTGAACTGCCAGTTATTCACCCATCCCTTTATAGCCCTGGATATTGGCTTTTCGTTTTTTCACTTGGGTGTGAAAACGCCTTCACCATGAGAAGTCAGTGAGTAAGTCCTTCCTCATCAGAGGCTATTTGAAACGCTTGGTTCTTTGAAAGCATTTCGCGGGGTGCCATGTAACGTGACCAGCCACAACTCAAGGCACCCAGCCGAACTATACTAATCTAATGTATTGAAGAAGGACAGTCCACTGAGGCCAAATATACATTATANTCTAATTTACTCGCTTTTATAGTGTTTTACAATACTAGTTTGCATGTGGTGTTTCACATTATTGTGCTACCACGATTCTTTCCACTGAAAATGTTATGATGCCATACGGACAGTACTTTTCTGATGTCGTCTCCTAGATAGGGTTTAATTTATGCAAGGGTCTTTCATTATATATTTTTGCACGAACCAATGGCCAATTACCAGGTAACTGTGCCTTTATGTGACACATCTTTTGACGGATTACGCTGATTTTCAATAGATGCTCTGTTTTTAACATCGTTTTTTACCCAAAATTAATAACTTCACGGTGTGCTGTTTTGGTCATACAAGCGCTTTCAGTCTAGTGCGACTGCATTTTCTAGTGTGATGACTTACGTTTCTCTGTGTCTCAGTGGGCTGTCCCAAAATATTCTACTGTTCATATACCCTACAAGAAAAAACAAGTTGATTTAACTGTTTACTGCAACTAAGAAATCAACATAGAAGTCCTGCTGATGTTGATATATAACCTGATTTCAAAACGTTGGAATTGTGAACCTGGTTGTAGAATAACTCTTGATCTAACTCGATGTTTCCGATGAGCACCGAAATCAGTATTACCTCTCCTGCGATCCGTCACTGTCATATGGACAACCATCGATTATCACTGGTGGGAATATCTTCATTCTCCGACTGTAACCTTACCCTGAACTGGTTCATGCCTAACTCTGTTCACGCTCATTTACAGTAGAACAATGCCAAAATAAACTGCCACTACCAGTCGGCGCAAGTGCTTATCACCGTTTTTTCTTCGGAGTTGAGTGACCTTCAATAAATTGTTTACGCCGAACCCGATAGAAACTAATTCATAAGCCCATCTGTACGATATGTAAAACTGGCACAGGGCGTTTCTATTTGCGAAACCAAACCTTCGCCACTAACAGATATTACTGTATCGTGGTTTTTGTTTTACCTGCGTTTTTTGTTTTTCACAAACAAAAACGAAGTAAGCTTGTTCATTTGTTGGGATGCTGGTGGCAGTTGTGATAAGTTCTACCTCGGCCGATTCACATGATTTTTCGTGCACGAAACGTATCTACTGGGGTAATGTTTGACCAAAGGCTGCTATTCTACAACAAATAACGACCAGTTTTTATTGTTTTAGGATGACATGACTCAACCTTTGAACAACTTCACTGTCCGTGACTGTCAAATCATCTGCCTCAACAAACCAAAGCCATTCACTTTTCTCATTCGCGGCCTTCAATGGACAAATGTTGTCGAGCGTCTGTTTTTCGTTGAAGCGGAATCAGAACGGTCGGATTGGGTCACTGCCATTCAGACCATTGCTAATCGACTTCGGCGGTCTTGTGAAGATCCAATTTCTATCCTCTCGGTAAATGTGGATGAAAACACCATGATAGATGTCCCACAAAGGTAAGCTTCCCTCAATCACTTTTATTTTTGTTTTACACTGGAGCTAGTATGTCACTCGGTAATAAACTAATTTGTAACTACTGTTCATCGCGGTGTGACCTTGTGTAGTTTGCCAATCCAAGTCCCTGGGCTTAGGTCGTTGCTTATCACAGGTGACCAGTCGGTCCTCGAGGTATTAGAAATTACCCACCTATGGTGTTCATCACGCCAAGGTGTGTAATGAAGTGATTGATGATGTTGCATAATGGATAGCTACCGGGTGCACTATCCTCTATACATGTGCACACAAAATTGGACGTGTGATGCTTATTCTTTTCCTTTCGAGTTTAGCCCTTTGAAAGCTATTTATTTTGTGTCACTTTTTCTCTGCCCATTCACTCATCCCTGGGTGGATGACAAAGAGGGCATCGTAAAGGAAGAACCACTTGTAGCATATGCAAAAGCCAGTAAGCATGTCTTCAAGTCGTGGGTAGGAGAAGGATCAACTCGGTGTTGAGTCGTGATTGGGTGAGATTCCCACTTAACCAGCGGTCACGGAAGATCAGCTACGGTTGTCAAGGGGGTGATGGGTTCTCCTGGCAAACGATCTCTCTAAATGCCACAGTGATACACTGACAGCATCGGGATGTGTGAGAGTATGGCTTACCATTCAATAAAGCCACAGTCGTCTCCATCTGGCGGTGCGAAAATAGTTCTCGGAACTGGCCTATGAGACCTTTTACTCACCGACTCCATTAGATGTCCTGGATCACCGCGTTCATTCAAAAGAAGTATGAATCACCGGATACCAGTATAACTCTGTCCTGTTACTCTGCAATTTCAATTTAACTGTGCAAAGATTGGAGATTTGCACTAGAATACAAACTACTGAGTGGTCCTGCGGCTACCAATTTATGCGAAATTCATATTCCTCATGGATAAGTACTCACGCTTATTCTATGGTGCCCTCGGGAGAAGACGCACCATGTAATCTCTCAGTGACTGGGAATCTCAATACCAGCAACTTAATGTATATTGCTACATTCGATGTCGAAATATTTCACGATATAGATTCCTGAATAGTTGCGCCTCACACGAATACAGGACAAACATCACTTACTAACTGCTACCTAGCTCAAATACGAAGAGATTAAATGTATTACAAATCCACGATGCTTCTGGCCTTGTCACAACCAGTCAACGGATAACTCCGGTCTTCATCACGCAGCTCTCTCTCTCTCTCTGTTCACCCAAGTCATGAGTTTGTGCTGGTCTGTCGCTCGTAGGATAATCATGCCACGCTTCAGAGGTCCACCAACGAATAAATCCTTCAATGTAGTTTACACTCTGACATTGCCTTCAGGCAGCAGTACCAAGAACGAGTTCTACAGTAAACTACAGATGTGGTCAATCATATTTCTTAATCCGACATACGTTGGAGGCTGCACGCATGGGGCCCTCGGACTGGAACACACGCCAGGTTATTGGCAATTTCCGTCTCGGTAAGCGATTCGAAAACAGTCTACGTTTAGATTCTTTTGTCAACTTAAATCGATTAGTCAAGACAATCACCTTTCGAGCACCCCAGAGAATACCTTGTACTCAAACGTTAGTGGAGCGAATCATCAGTTAGGTCATCTGATACGACCTTGTCTGGTTTCATTAATCGTAGACTGTAGTTTATACCACGGTGCTCAAACTGAGGACCACTGAATCAAAATGTGTAAAAAGGCCATTTTGAATTAGAAAATAGAAATTACTGGCCTAATCACTTCAGTCAATTGTTCGACTGCTGTTCATTACAATCCAATCTGCTAATACGGCAGAGGCAAACATACCAAGTTGAATGTGACCAAAAAGCCGCTCATAAGTATGGGATATCCCCGAAGTTTTCTGAGCTTATCTTTCCGTTGTACTCAATCCGTTACATGAACTTTCTCATTTTATCTGGAATACCGAGATATTCTAATAATAACATACTGCCTCGGTCTTTCTTCCCGCTTGCCGTCTCGGAAGAGGTGGTATTGAACAAATTTCATGGCACGTCTATGAGTTCCAAAAGCCTACCACAGCCTGCTTCATTGATTTCCTTGCGGCTTTTGAATCTACTAACAGGAAACCTTTTGGGGTAGTTCGGAGGAAAACAGTTTGCTAGACGAAACTAGTAAACCCCAAAATCACACTACTACAGCAGCAGAACATGAGTTCTCAAAGAGAAAGAAGAATAAATAGAGTTTGCCTTCACTGTCCGATGTCACGAATGCAGTTTAACTGCTCCGTAAGCTGGTTCATACAACGTGCACTGATTCAGTACCTCAGAGTGAGATTTTTATCGGTTAACGGCCTTTCCTGGACCGTATTCGATTCCTGGCCAACACTACCGGGGTTAAAACAATTCCACTAGAAGAAAGTTTTTTCAGATAGTATGTGATCTTCCAGTGAATCCTATTCAAACGGACAGAGAATCGTTGGAACTATCTTGGTTTCAAGATACACTCAAACAGTCAAGTCAAGCAATAAACCAGAGGATGTTTTGTTTGTGTTAAGAGCGCCTTTACTCAACTCCATCCATTTTTTGCAAGGAACGAAATAAGTCTCCGCACTAAAGCACTAGTTTTTCAAGTCAACATTCGCCATATACTCATATATAACCATGAAGTTGGGTAGCTCCAGGTCGAGGGTGTCCGAAAGTTAATTTTTCATCGATGGCGCCTCGATAATATCCTATGAGTTCTCGGGTGTGATGGGGTCTCCAACTTCAATAATTGGCAACGTTACCTGGAAATGAAAAAGTTGTCCTCCGTGCAACATGGTCTTCACTAATTTTTTGATTACGTTCTCTGATGATCAGCAAGCAAGCTTTGAAGTCACTACCCTCGTCCAACACCGCCTGTCGTTCCGGTCTATTGAAGAAATCGATTATCCTTGTTAAATCTGACATGACGCTTCTGGGCCTTCAGTCCATCGACGTTCAGTGTGTACAAACTGTATCCATCAGGCCACTGATGATTGTACTTGGGCTGCTGCTGTCAGATAACCGTGAAGCGGACTTATCTTTATGCNCGGAGATAGTCGCGTAGAACGGGAAGTGAGTGCTGGTTAAAACTTCCTATGTAATTTCAGTTTACAAAACTTACGATCTCCTGTCTGCTCGACCTTATCTGTTTCAATTGGTCTGGTACATAGGGTACAAATAATGGAATTTCCGTCTACTTTGTCAATAGCCTATTGATACACCTTGAGGTACAAAACTTCCGCAACCATCTAAGCGGATTCCTGTCTTGCTCCTGATTGCATCCAATGAAGCGTTTGACCGGCGAATTGCTTTTCACGTTTCCTATGATCCATTGGGTAAACATGTCTTGTCGAATCAAAAGAGCCAACTCTTGCCTCATTCTCCTAGTTTTATGAGATTGGAACTTACGAAATCCCTCGTGTACGGCTTATCGATCCTCTTGGAAAAACTTAGGTATCGCGTTCGTTTGCAATATTTTCGGTCTCGATACAGTACGCGGCTTAACGTATCTTTTTTGCGCTCCTGGAGTCAAACAAATGTAGATAGAACACCGCTTTACGCAGCAAATGGCGGGGTTGCATACAAGACTGCCGCTCGGACTGGAACTCTCCCCCCGAATACGATGACATTAGTTTACGCCAAGCTGTCCATGTGCTTCGGTGGGTGCTCTAAACGCATGATGCAGTGAAGGTTAAACTGCGATAATTTGTCTCAACCAGCATGCCTGACTGTCTTTCAGAACACTAGAATCAACTCCACCTGATAACATCATTAAGTACTGATCGCTTATGGAGAATGCCATAAATTCCGCTGGTACGTTGTAGCCTGACACATTAAGTCTTAACACCCTGGATTTCCGCTGAGTCTCTGCGCTTTCTTGACACACGCTGGTCACTTCCGACCGACGGCGAGCATAATGAAATACGACTTGTAACAAGACGTAACATTAACGCCAGCCTACTCAGAGACCGCGAAATCTGGACTCAACGTGTATCAGAGATGGAGCGTGCTACCGCCATTGAAAACTCCCGTAAGCTGTTCCATCTCATCCGGGTCACCGGTTGTAAAGCTTTAGGGGTCATAAATCGCCAGGCTCTAATGGCCTTCCCCCAACTCTATTTAAAGATGATGGAATAAAGCTTCTTAGAGAACTACAAGTTCGGTTCACCGAGATTCGGTACATCGAGCAGGTTCCCTTCTATTGAGGGGGGGGATTAATTGTTGGTCCTATCTTGTAAAAGAGCTCGCGCAGTCTTTGCACCAACGACAAAGTATAAGCTTTATCCCAACAGCGTCCAAGCTGTTAGCGTCCGTTCTTCATAGGTTGTACAAAAGGACTGGGGAGCATGCGCACGAAGAGCAGCCTTGGTCTCGCTCCTGTCGTGGATGCATCGATCAAATCGTTCATTATCATTGTACAGCGCAATACAGGGAAACGAACTTCGCTGATCGCTGCCAAATTCATGAGTGCGAGTGTATAAGGAGAATTGGGATTGTGCCAATTTTTAGGGACGGGAAAAGAAAGCTAACCTCTATGGTCAGTACAGAGTATACAGTCCAATTGTGCGTACATGCTATTTCCAGCATTCTGCTCTTATAAGAAGTGATAGCAAGATCGCCATTGCTGTTGGCTCGCAGCCATGAAGCTCAGTGTTTCCAACCATCCAGTTACCTGGGGTCGGATTGGGGTGTGTGGCCGGTTTTCGTCACCTTTTGCCGCCTCCAGTGGAGTGCGGCAGGGCTGCGCTATATTCCCATTCCTCCTCAACTTTGCCATAGAGGATGGTCTAAAAAACGCTTTGTCTGGTCTAGCAAACAGTGGAGTTGAACCTCTCCCGTGAAAAATGTTCTTTAGTTAGAATATACCGGTGATGTCGTTCTACTGGAGGTTAATGCACCGGCAGTGCAGTTTTAGACCACTTGGCGATCGAGGTATGTATATACATCACACGTCTGATGCCAGACTGTGTGCCAAACAAATAATGGTCAAACAATCGTTATGAAACGGAAAAGCGTTTCGTGATTTGCATGTGGGGCGAATACTGACAAGTTACCCAGCCCAAATCAGCTGAATTTTCATGAGGAATCAACGACCGGAGCCTTCGGCTAGCCCAAGTCCGACCCGCAAGACAACGGAGCGGTGTGCAAAAACTGCAGTCCATTGAGGGCAAACATTGCTCGCTGTAGCGATCTATCTGGTGACATGCGTAACACATGCCGCAAACAACGTAATCTATGGATGTCGACCACTTGTTCCAGTGGACGGCCGCGATTACCTTAGGATCTACGCCTAACTTCAGCACTGCTCGTCAGGTTTTTTTTGTCTACCTCTTCTACAACTCATCCCGTCAGGGTAGGTTAGGGACTGGGCCAACCCAGTCTTGGAGCAGCATTTTGCACTTTGAACGTGGCTACACTAGCACTCAAACTATCCAGAAAAAGCATGCAACCTAACTGGATCTTCACTTAGTAACACAGTGTCGTCTGGATACTCTAGATCAGACAGTCTGTCACCTGGGAGGATATCGATGCTACGATCATCCCACGAAGATGGGGCTGTTTCAAGATCTGAATCTTTCACGAAGTTAAGCAGAAACTGA